GAGAGCATGCGTGCGTGTCTGGGAGAGCGTGCGCGCGTGCGTTTCTGGGAGAGCGTGCATGCATGCATGGCTGGGAGAGCGTGCGTGCGTGTCTGGGAGAACATGCGTGCGTGTGTGTCTGGGAGAACGTGCGTGTGTGTCTGGGAGAGCGTGCATGCGTGCGTGTGCGCATGCGTGTCTGGGTGTGCGTGCGTGCGTGTGAGTCTGGGAGAGCGTGCGTGCGTGACTGGGAGAGCGTGCCTGCGTGCGTGTCTGGGAGAGTGTGCCTGTGTGTGTGTGTGTCTGGGAGAGCGTGCGTGCGTGTGTGTGTCTGGGAGAGCGTGCGTGCGTGAGTCTGGGAGAGCGTACATGCGTGCATGTCTGGGAGAGCGTGCATGCGTGTGTGTCTGGGAGAGCGTGCCTGCATGTGTGTGTGTGTCTGGGAGAGCGTGCGTGGCTGGGAGAGCGTGCGGGCGTGTGTGTCTGGGAGCACGTCCGTGCGTGAGAGTCTGGGAGCACGTGCGTGCATGCGAGTCTGGGAGCGCGTGCGTGCGTGCGAGTCTGTGAGCGCGTGCGTGCGAGTCTGGGAGAGCGTGCATGCGTGCGAGTCTGGGAGAGCGTGCGTGCGTGCGTGTCTGGGAGAGCGTGCGTGTGTGTCTGGGAGAGCGTGCGTGCGTGCCTGTTTATCTGGGAGAGCGTGCGTGCATGTGTGTGTCTGGGAGAGCGTGCGTGCGTGTGTGTGTGTCTGGGAGAGCGTGCGTGTCTGGGAGAATGTGCTTGCGTGCGTGTGTGGCTGGGAGAGTGTGCGTGCGTGCGTGGCTGGGAGAGCGTGCATGTCTGGGAGAGCGTGTTTGCGTGCGTGCGTGTGTGGCTGGGAGAGCGTGCATGCATGCATGGCTGGGAGAGTGTGCGTGCATGTCTGGGAGAACATGCATGCATGTGTGTCTGGGAGAGCGTGCATGCGTGCGTGTCTGGGAGAGCGTGCGTGCGTGTGCGCATGCGTGTCTGAGTGTGCGTGCGTGTCTGGGAGAGCGTGCGTGTGTGGGAGAGCGTGAGTGCACATGTGTCTGGGAGAGCGTCGTGCGTGTGTGCGTGTGTCTGGGAGAGCGTGCATGCGTGTGTCTGGGAGAGCGTGCGTGCGTGCATGTGTGTCTGGGAGAGCGTGCGTGCATGTGCGTGCGTGTGTGTCTGGGAGATCGTGCGTGTGCATGCATGTGTGTGTGTGTCTGGGAGAGCGTGCGTGCATGTGGGTCGTGCGTGTGCGTGTCTGGGAGAGCATGCGTGTGTGTGTGCGTGTGCATGTCTGGGAGAGCGTGCGTGTGTGTGCGTGCGTGTCTGGGAGAGCGTGCGTGTGTGTGTCTGGGAGAGCGTGGGTGCGTGTGCGTGTGCATGCCTGGGAGAGCGTGCGTGCGTGTGTGTGCGTGTCTGGGAGAGCGTGTGCGTGTGTGTGCGTGTCTGGAAGAGCGTGCGTGCGTGTGCGTGTGTCTGGGAGAGCGTGCATGCGTGTGTGTCTGGGAGAATGTGCGTGCGTGCGTGTGTCTGGGAGAGTGTGCGTGCGTGTGTCTGGGAGAGCGTGCGTGTGCGTGTGTGTCTGGGAGAGCGTGCGTGTGCGTGTGTGTGTATGGGAGAGCATGCGTGCATGCGTGCGTATGTCGGAGAGCGTGCGTGTGCATGTGCATGTGTCTGGGAGAGCATGCGTGCGTGCGTGTGTGTCTGGGAGAGCATGCATGTGCGTGTGTGTGTCTGGGAGTGCGTGCATATGCGTGTGTGTGTCTGGGAGTGCGTGCATATGCGTGTGTGTGTCTGGGAGAGCGTGCGTGTGCGTGTGTGTGTCTGGGAGAGCATGCGTGTGTGTGTGTATGGGAGAGCGTGCGTGTGCGTGTGTGTGTGTATGGGAGAGCGTGCGTGCGCGTGCGTGTGTGTGTGTGTCTGGGAGAGCGTGCATGTGCGTCTGGGAGAGCGTGCCTGTCTGGGAGAGCGTGCGTGCGTGTGCATGTGTGTCTGGGAGAGCGTGCGTGTCTGGGAGAGCGTGCGTGCGTGCGTGTCTGGGAGAGCGTGCATGCGTGCGTGTCTGGGAGAGCGTGCGTGTGTGTGTGTATGGGAGAGCGTGCGTGTGTGTGTGTGTCTGGGAGAGCGTGCGTGTGTGTCTGGGAGAGCGTGCGTGTGCGTGCGTGTGTGTGTGTGTCTGGGAGAGCGTGCATGTGTGTCTGGGAGAGCGTGCATGCATGCGTGTGTGTCTGGGAGAGCATGCGTGCATGCGTGTGTGTCTGGGAGAGTGTGCATGTGTGTCTGGGAGAGCGTGCAAGCGTGTGTGTGTCTGGGAGAGCGCGCGCGCGCGTGTGTGTGTGTCTGGGAGAGCGTGTGTGTGTGGGTGTGTGTGTGAGAGAGAGAGAGATAGTATCTGTATGAGAGTAGATCTGCGAGTGTATGTATGTTTATGTGAGTGTTTGTGTATGTATGCGAGTGTGTGAGTGTATGTGTGAGAGTGTATAATGTGGTGTATCACCTGTAGTGCGACATGAACCCAAGATCCGGGTTAAGGCCGTCCTCATGGGTACAGAACGTGGCTATCAGCCTCTGCTCAGTGACTCTGCATTTTTGTGTTCCCCAAAGCCTGCTTTGGTGGACGCTTACCCGAAGATCCAAGGCTGAATGTCCTTGACCGCTGAAGTGTTCCCCAACTGGGAGGGAACATCTCCGCTTGGCAATTGTTGTGCAACACACACACACACACACACTCTCTTCCCCCCCCACACACACATACTCAGTCTCTCCCACACATACACACACACTCTCACACATGTACACACCCACACACGTAAATCTATGGGTTGAATTTATATTTGCAGATACATTCTATTTTGTTCAAAAAGCACACAATTTATAGGCAGTCAGTCAATGTGGAGTTTTATAAATTCCCACTTTAGAAATAAAACCAGTCTGACTCCAAACAAAACACAGATTCACTGCATTGTCAGACCTAAAATGTCACCTCTTCTTTACCTTGATAAAACCTTTAATTCTCTGAGTGACTTGAAAGGAATTCAGGCATTTACACATACAGGTTAATCAATTAAAACCTGCGAACTGATTAAAAATTTAACAGCATCTTAGGTTTGTTTAGTACATCCTGATCAATGGTGTGACCCTTTGGTCTTTTACTTATAAATTTTGTCTGATATTACCCTCTCACTAACACCTGAAGAAAGAGTAAGACTCCGAAAGCTTGTGTTTTCAAATAAACCTGTTGGACTATAACCTGGTGACCTATGATTTCTGACGTTGTCCACCCCAGTCCAACACTGGCACCTCCACGTCTCGAATGGTGAAGCAGGCTGGAGCAGCTGATCAGAACACTCCTGCTCCTGTGTCTCTGGATGAAGTTGCATGAAATGTTTGAGATAGCAGTCACCCTCTTACCTGCTACACCATCTTCTGTGGCTTTTCCATACATTAACCACAAGCTCTGTGAAGAAACTATATCTTTACTGTATATCCACCTTCCCCCTCATAGGATTTTCAATCCCTGCTTCATTGTCCTGGAGTATATTGATAATGAACATCATAGATCATCCCACTAACAAACCCATTAACAGTAATGTTCTAAAGAAATCTAGACTGTTCATTCTAAACCAGGTGCAACACAATTACGAACTTTTTTCACTACAGACCTCTGAGATTGCGGTATCCATTTACATTTTTAGTTGTTTTTCCAAAGAGCTTGATCCCAACGGTATCTTTTATTTGGCCGTATCTACAAAGGGCACAATCATCAATAATTCATAGAAGTGGAAGGATAATACGTAAGACCTTTCTTTCTTCTTTAACTACTTATTTTAACTTTGCACACAGCTTGCAGTTCAGGAGGCATTGATTTAGCTTTCGTCATTGATGGGTCAAAGAGTGTGAGACCTGAAAACTTCCAGCTGGTAAAAAAATTCATCAACCAGATTGTCAATACCCTAGAGGTTGGTGATCAGAACGCACGTATCACCCTCATTCAGTACTCCAGCTCAGTCAGGACAGAATTCCCTCTCAACAAGTTCAAAACCAAACAAGACATTAAGGCCGCAGTCAAGAACATGGAGTACATGGAGAGAGGAACAATGACAGGCCTGGCCCTACAACATCTGTCTGAAAAAGTCTTCGTTCCATCACAAGGAGCGAGGGAAAATATCCCAAAAGTCGGAATTGTCTTTACAGATGGTCGTTCACAGGATTACATTAATGATTTTGCTCAAAAAGCCAAAGATCAAGGTAACAATTACAGAATTTTTTTTTTACACTTTGAATTAACTATATATTTTGCACTTGTAAACATCTGTTGCACTCCAAGTAATACATTACTGACATCTGCTCCTTATGTCAAATATGCCGTTCACCACTGCCCCCAAACCATGGACTTGAAGCCAGTAAACAGGGGTCTCTCCCACCAGCTAGACAGCTGGTGATGACATCATATTGTGTCCTTTGGGAAAAGACCACTGTGGTAAGTGCCAGTCAGGAACTTAAGTGGCCAGAGACTGGCCTTCCTAGGGTCATGGGCCTGGGCAGCACGCCCACTTAGAGATTTTGGACGAACCAATCAGCATGCCAACACATTGGCTTCCGGTTCTAGAAGCCACTGCTGTGCACAGACCTCAGAGGTCTGCACATTGGAAAATAATTAGGGGAAATGTAGGCCCCGACCCAGAGAGGAGAACTCACCTGACATCTACCCATTCCTCCAGAGCTGCTGGCCAATCAGAGACCAGCACCTTTTCAATGTAGGCAACATCGCTAAGAGAACAGGGAGTCAGGCCAAAGGTGACTGATGATGTTGTTGGAGACTGCAGGAAGCTGGTATTAGGCAGTATTAGCAAGTTCAAAGGCAGGGGGTTGGCTTTCAGTGGGCTCCACTCCTTCCTGATGCCAGATCAACCGAGCTCTACCCCACCCTCTGGAGTCTGTGATCAAAATTCAACAGGCAATAACTGTTCACTAAGGACCCTCAATTGGTGATGGAAAGTGGAGTGGGGGAAAGCCTTCTTACACCAGACTTAACCAGGTGGCAGATGTAAGAAGATGATGTCCTAAACTGGCTGCATTCCACCCAATTAAATGTCTTCCTGCCTCCAATCTGCCTTGAGGAGGGCATTTAAAGTTCACCCTAAATGTCTGTATATATGCGTTACATTTTGCAATATCTTTCTCCATATCTGTTGCAGTCCTCAGCATCTCTTCCTGCAAAGCTATCACGTTCTTAAACATCTATTAGTGGAATGTGTCACAGTCATCAATGTTTATATTTGTCACAGTCCTCAAGCCCTGGAAGCCCATTGGAAAGCCAACATAAAAGTGATTGCTTGTATATTAATGAAACTCTCTCCTATTATCGGTCACACATTGCCCATATCTTCAACAGTAGATTTTGTTCCTCTTCTTATTTCAAATAGCACCAAGATCAACAGATAGAATTGGTTAATTTAATGGTGATTGGGGGTTGAGCCTACAGCTCTTTCTGTATACAGCAATTACCCATCATTAAATGGCACTACAATGTTTGTTTTTCTCTGTTACACAATCCTAAGTAACCAAGTATGCAATAGCAACAGATCATACCAGATTCTAATTGCAAAACATACTCTATTGATGCTGATCAACACTGATATTTGTCTTAATGTAGTTTTATGTACAAAATAATAGTACTTAGAAATTCACTTCATCTGTTTCAGGAATTAGGATGTTTGCAGTTGGAGTGGGGAATGCACTTGAGGAAGAATTAAGGATTATTGCTTCAGATCCAGTGAAGGATCATTATTATTATACTGCAGATTTCAAGACGATGAACAAAATTGCTGACAAATTACAGGTTAAAATATGTGGTAAGGAATATTCTTGCTGCATAATTCCTTATTTGTTATAGGTGTCTTAATCCAGAGGTATTCAAACTTCTGTTTTGGGGAACCCTGCAAATTTTGAAATACTGTAGAGACTCTGTAATATTGTTACATACTGAGGAAAGCTGGAAAAAATTGACTTATTTCCATGAACCCTATCCTAACTTCAATAAGACAATGTCAAAAACTCAAAGGATCAGTTAAGATTGCAAGAAATTATTTTGATTTGCTCACAACAACAGAACTGCCATGATAGCAAGTCTGGGTTGGGCCATGTCTGTATTGTGGGCAATCTCAAATTAGTTTGTACAAAATTGAACCATTAAGTGTTCTGTATCAAATAGCTGAAACATTTGTCTATATAATTTGTACTCAACACATTAGTAATATAGCATAAGGTTTCAGCACTGATCCTGCAGTTGTATCATAACTTCATGTGGTGGAACACTTAGGCAACAGTAATCATAGCATGTAATAATTTGTTTTATTCATATTGGCCAAACGATTGTTATTTATAATTCAATGTTGGTTCATGACTCATAAGTTCGATAAACAGCTAAAATCTTGAAAAATGCTTTCGAAAGAAATCTAGATAGATCTTCAACAGAAAAGAAAGGAATAGAAAGATAAGCAAAAAGACTGAGATGATGCAGATGGAATTGGAGAAGACATGGGACAGCATAGACTAGTTGACCCCAATGTCCTGTTTCTGAGCTTTATATTTCATGCAGTTCATGTAAATAAAACTTGATAAGACACCCTTTGTGTGTAGGATAATAGATGCTGGAACAAATGTATTTATTTTTTATGACTACTCACAAGCGAATGGGATGTGTAAAGGACACCTAGTGAAACCAAACCAAATGGCTGGTCGGAAATGTGCAACAAAAATTAGGCTGAAACAAGACTGCTTCTATAACTGAAAGAAAATCAAGGAAATTGAGGTAAACATCAAAAGCAATTCAGGGTAACATAAGACCATAAGACATAGGAGCAGAAATTAGGTCATTCGGCCCACCGAATCTGCTCTGCCATTCAATCATGGCTGATAAGTTCCTCAACCCCATTCTCCTGCTTTCTCCCCATAACCCTTGATCCCCTTGATAATCGAGAACCTATCTATCTCAGTCTTAAATGTACTCAATGACCTGGCCTCTACAGCCTTCTGTGGCAGTGAATTCCATAGATTCAGTACTCTCTGGTTGAATATAGTTTCTCCTTATCTCCGTTCTAAAAGGTCTTCCCTTTACTCTAAGACTCTGCCCTTGTGTCCTAGACTCTCCTACCAATGGAAGCATCTTCCCAACATCCACTTTGTCCAGGCCATTCATTATTCTGAAAGTTTCAATTAGATCCCCCCTCAACCGTCTAAACTCCAATGAGTATAGTCCCAAAGGTTCCTCATATGTTAAGCTTTCCATTCCTGGGACCATTCTTGTGAACCTCCTCTGAACCTGCTCCAGGGCCAGTACATCCTTCCTGAGATATGGGGCCCAAAACTACATGTAATACTCCAAATGTGGACTGATCAGAGCCTTTTTCAAGCCTCAGTAGTACATCCCTGCTTTTATATTCAAGTCCTCTCAAAATAAATGCCAACATTGCATTTGCCTTCCTGACTACTGACTCAACCTGCAAGTTTACCTTGACAGAATCCTGGATTAGAACTCCCAAGTCTCTTTGCACTTCAGACTTCTGAATTTTCTCCCCATTTAGAAAAGTCCATGCTTTTATTCTTCTTACCAAAGTGCATGACCTCACACTTTCCCACGTTGTACTCCATCTGCCACTTCTTTGCCCACTCTCCTAACCTGTCCAAGTCCTTCTGCAGCCTCGCCACCTCCTCAATACTACTTGTCCATCTACCTATCTTCGTATCGTCTGCAAACTTAGCCAGAATACCCACAGTTCCTTCATCTAGACCATTAATGTATGAAGTGAAAAGTTGTGATCCCAGCACTGACCCTTGCGGAACTCCACTTGTCACCGGCTGCCATCCTGAGAAAGACCCCTTTATCCCCACTCTCTGCTTTCTGTCAGACAGCCAATCTTCTATCCATGCTAGCACCTTGCCTTTAACACCATGGGCCCTTATTTTACTCAGCAGCCTTCTGTGTGGCACCTTATCAAAGGCCTTCTTGAAGTCCAGGTAGATAACATCCATTGGGTCTCCTTGGTCTACCCTGCTCGTTACTTCCTCAAAGAATTCTAGCAGATTTGTCAGGCATGACCTCCCCTTGATGAAACCATGCTGACTTTGCCCTATTTTACTATACACTTCCAAATATTCAGCAATCTCATCCTTTACAATGGACTCCAAAATCTTACCCACTACTGAGGTTAGGCTAATCAGCCTGTAATTTTCTGACTCTTGCCTTACTCCTTTTTTAAACAGGGGTGTCATGTTAACGATTGTTAGAGAAACTAAATCACTAAAAGAAAGGAAAGTTGTTGAGAATTGTGGGAGTAATAACCAAGACTTTGTCTGTCATAATTAAGATTAGGCTGTTTCAAGTCACTGAGAAATGTCAAGTTATGGGTTGATGTTCAATAATTTCTTTGCATAAGTCTACATTCCTCCGAATAATGCCAACTACCAAATATGGGTTCTGTGTAAACATGAAAACTGGGTATATTGAAATAAAAAAAGCAAGATATCTTGGAGAGAACACGGAACTTTGAAGTACATTGGGCAGTGGGTCCAAAAGACATTAATCTGTATCTGGAGAATGTGATTTGCAAGCCCCTTGCCCTTTTCTTTAATAGCTGACTGAGGTTTGTACTTTTCTCTTTTGATTGAGATGTTTCTCATATGAAGCTGCTTCTTGAAAGGTTAGACCAAATTGAACCCAGAGAACGACACGCCCACAAGCCTGATGTCAATCAGAAGTAAGACATCTTCTGTATGATCACTGAGATAGGGAAGATACATCAAAGACACTCAACACAGCCTATGTAAAAGGCATTGTGTTTCGCTAATTGACTAGAATCCTGAATGGACCATGGCATCTACTAAACATTGTTTACTTGAATGTCCAAAATACCTTGGATATTGTTTGTTTCAATAGGTTACTATATAAATCAAAATCTTGTGGGTTAGGAATTGATTATGGTCACACAGGTTGTAATTAATGTATCTGCTTGCCAGCTGATTACTAGTTGTGACCCATTACTAGTGACATCCTGAAGAGATTGGTGATTTTATTTTTGTTTTAACTAGCCTAGTAAAAGGCTTTGGGCAGACAGTCCGCAGGGCTGCAGGTGGCATTAAAAGGAAATTCTGTAAACGAATCTAAACGTGATAAAGGATTGAGCCAAATTTTCGCAGATCTCCCTTACTTAGATCAGTGCAATGTGATGGACTTCAGCTGTATCAATGTGTACTTACCCACAACTCTGTACCAAAGTAAAATCAATTCACAGAGAAAGAGATCTATGCATCATTGTTCATCACACCAAAAAAGGTTTCTCCAAGATACATGATCAATTCATTGCATATACAATCAGTGTATAGGGCAGACAGCCTGAGCATTTGTAAGCATCCTATGGAAGGTATTCACAGAATTGTAATAGCACAGAAGAAGACCATTCAGCCCCTCGTACGTGCATCAGCTCTTGAAACGAGCATCATTACTTAGTCTCAATCTCCTCCATTTTCCCCATTCTCTTGCACACTATTTCTATCCAAATAATCATCTAATACCCGCTTGAGTCCCTCAATTGAACCTGCCTCCATCACGTTTCCAGGTTGGGTATTCCAGATGCTAGATGCTGGAGATTCAATCTCCATTACTACTGCAATCTGTGTTCTAAAGCATTTCGATGTCATTATTTATTACAATCCTTATTTCTACTAACCTGCTGTCAAACCTTCAGCTTTTCCCCCGGGTCCTAAATGAGCAGAGAGCAGGACCGAGAGACACAAAGATGATTTGTGCCTGGACATGCCTGGCTTAGACCAGTTCCCACACAGAAAACTAGTCAGTGATCATAGGCCCATACTGTCTGATTATTCATCCATTAATTTAAACTGTTGGAAATAAGATGCTGTGTTTTCTTTATTCTTTCATGAAATGTGGGCATCATTAGCAAGGCCGATTTATATTGTTCATATGTAATTGCCCTTTAACTGAGTGGCTTACTAAGCTATTTCAGAGAGCAGTTAAAAATCAAGCACATTGCTGTGGATCTGGAGTCACTTATAGGCCAGGCCAGGTAAGGATGGCAGATATCCTTCTCTAAAGGATATTAAATAAAAAATGGAGTTTTACAACAATAAACAGGAATTTCATGATCATCACAGTGAGACTGTTTTTCTTATTAAAAAATTAAATTGATTAATTGAATTTAAATTCCACCAACTGCCATGGTGAGTTTGAACCCTTGTCTCCTCTGGATTTTTAGGTCAATGAGATTACCACTACACTACCATTAATCAGACCCATAAAGGAGTCAGGAGAAAACAGTCAAACCCAGCATTATTACTTATACCAAGTCTATTCAACATAGCAGTAGTACACTTGGATAAATTCATATTGTGTTACACACCAACAATATCTATTTTGAACAGCATTACAGTGGAAGGCACAAGAACTGCATTGTGTAGACCTTGATCTAAGTCATAATTATGAGGCAACACCTTCACAATTTCACTGCTTATAATACACAGTGAATATCCCAATAAATGATTGTATAATGGCGTGCAGCTGCAGCCAGTAATTTATGGAATGACTGGAATATCTTACTATTTTTCCCTAATGTTTTATTTCTCTTTCAGCTGCACCTATTAAAGATCCTTGTGCCTGCGAATCACTCGTGGAATTCCAGACAAATGTCGAGAAAATAATCAAAACACTGACAGCAAAACATATCCTTTTAATCAAGTGTGATTCACGATAAAAATTAAACTAATGTTGGATTATCCACAATCTAGTCTACCTACTTTTGGAGGAAAAAATATGTAGATGATATATGTTTGGGGACGGCACGGTGGCTCAGTGGTTAGCACTGCTGCCTCACAGAGCCAGGGACCCGGGTTCGACTCCACCCTCGGGCGACCGTCTGTGTGGAGTTTGCACATTCTCCCCGTGTCTGTGTGGGTTTCCTTTGGGTGCTCCGGTTTCCTCACACAGTCCAAAGATATTCAGGTTAGCCGGATTGGCCATGGCAAATGCAGGGTTAAGGGGATAGGATAGGGGAGTGGGTCTGGGTGGGATGCTTTACAGAGGGTCTTTACAGAGACTCGATGGGCTGAATGGCCTGCTTTTGCACTGTAGGGATTCTATGATTCAGTTCTGAACTCCTCTTGTAATCAACATATTGCTGTTTATGACTGACTCAATTGGCTCCATATGATAGAAAGTGTAATCAATGATGCTATCAAGCAGCAGTTACTCAACAATAACACCTGTGTACAGGGGTTCAGTGTGAGTTCCAACAGTGCCACTCAACTCCAAACCACATTACAGCTTTGATCCAAACACAGACAAAAGAGCTGAAGTCAAGAAGTGAAGTAAGACTGCCCCTTGACATCAAGACAGTATGTAAATACAAGTGTGGTGTCAAGGAGCTAGAACGACATTGATCTCAATGAGAACTAGAGGAAAGCAATGGTCAAAAACACAAAATACAAAAGGAAAATGACTGTGGCTTTTGGAGGTCACTCATCTCAGGTATTGGATACTTCCATACAAATTTACCTGCTGTAGGAGTTCCATAATGTCCTATGCCCAACCATCTTCAGCCACTTCATCCATGCAATACAAAATGAGAAATGGAGATGTTAATTCATAGCTCCTCAGATAATGAAGCAGTCTATGCCCAAATGAAAAAAGACTGGACAACATTCAGGCTTGAGCTAATAAGTTGCAAGTAACATTCAAGCCACACAATTGACAGACAAAGACCATCCCCATCATGAGAATTTACTGCTTGTACAGCTCTAATAGAGTCATGGAGGTTTACAGCATGGAAACAGACCCTTTGGCCTGACTTGTCCATGCCGCCCAGTTTTCACAATTAATTTAGTCCCATTCACCTGCATTTGGTCCATATCCCTCCATGCCTATCCCATCCATGTACCTGTCCAAATGTTTCTTAAATTACAAAATTATACTTGCTTCCACCACTACCTCTGGCACCCATTTCAGACACTCACCACCCTCTATGTGAAAAATAATTGCCCCTCTGGACCCTTTTGTATCTCTCCCCTCTCACCTTAAACCTATGCCCTCTAGTTTTAGACTCCCCGACCATGGCGAAAAACTGTTGGCCATCTACCTTATCTGTGTCTCTAGCATTTATGGTAAATTTATGTGTGCACACGTAAAATTCATAATGTAATTATGAATTTAATAAAAGTTGAAAATATTAGAACATTTTTGTACAAGAAACTGCAGGTTAATGTTTTCACTCATGCAATATTGTCCTTAACAATTTTTATACTAGGTGCCTTTACAAAAAAACTGGCAGCTCTTGAGAACAGACTTCTTGTCTAATAAATCCTGGAGCATTTTTCCTGACGCTTAACATCATCTCTTAGTATTCTATTGTAAAATACTGAAAACATGCTTATTTAACACACAAAAGCATTTGAACTACTAAAAATGCTTTCATTTATTTTAAAGCGTCTAGTCTAGTTAACCTTCTCCTAGTACAGGAACCCTATAATGTTAAGTGCAGCTGTTCCCAATTGGACAAAGCACTGTGAAATATGCCAGAAACTTTTAATATTTTCTGCAGTATATGTTTTGTATATTAAAGAAAATCACCAAATGTAAAACTGAAATGTAATTTGTATTTATATTGTAATTTACTTGTTACCAGCATTGATCATATCCCTAGGTCATATTTAATTCTCAAACTATATATTTTGTCCACTTCTAAGAAAAAGTAACAGCCTAATATTAGAAAAATTTTATTAAAATTGGCTGAAAGACAAATACCCATGAAATGTGGGTACAACCTATTGGAACTAGTCAGAAAATCTAAGCTGATATAATGCAAGATGAACAGTTAGAAGAAATTAACTTGTTAAACAAAACCAAGAAAAAGTGTCATATGTGTCTTTTTTTAAAAATCTGGATATTTATGAAAGTATATTTAAGAGAAAAGGTATCATACATTTTTCAAAGATTTTATGAGTGTTCTGTTTTGGCATCTTGGCGAAACCTAGTTTATGTCAGGCAATGAACCAAACAAATAAATTGGCCTAAAAACATTTCAGGTTCTGGACAATATTTCTTTTTTTTTACATACCAAATGTCTTCTTTGGCCAGATTGTTGGGTTTTGTGACTTAATTCCTTAGAATATTTTGGTTCACTCTGAAACTTTGAATGAGAATTGATGACAACTCACAGCAGTTGTGAAATCATAACCACACACTGATCAAACTACATCACAAACATTGCTTTTGGTATGTTCAGAACAGGATGAATGAAAAAGAGTGGGAACAAAATCAGACAAGCAAAATCACAAGATCAAACTGAATTCTAACAACCAGTACTGACAGATACTCACTTGAAAATCTCTATTCCACTGAAAATGATGGGTTCATTGAAATGGTAAGTCACCCTACTGGAAGATGGGACTTGGCAAAAGAATCATTTTTAATGAAACTGCTTTCTTTCCAAATACAAGTTGAGCTTTTTAAGAAAGAAAAACCATCACTGAAAAACAAAACTCAACAGAACCAGCTAACCATGCAATCAAGCTCTCAATGTAAAGGTTTCCAGCAAATAGTCCTATCTGCTTCACTTGCACAATATGTTTTGGTCTCAGAAGTTCCACATCTTAGTTAGTCCATACTAGTACCACCTCTCCTAGATAATAGACATAACTAAGTCCCATGTGGATGTTGTGTTCTAAAGGTTTCTTTTACTCCATGCCTCCCCTCAACCTGCTCTCCAAGTCAAGTCTCAATTTAATCATCGTGATCCTTCTCATCATTTCCACTTTGGTGATGTCCTTTCTTCAAGAAATTATTAATTTGAGGATACGTCCTTCTTGGAATGTAAGGTCAACATTTATCGTCCAGTCCTAGTTGTTCTGAAAAGATGGTAGTCTATTGCCTTTTTCAGCTGCACAGATACACCAGGCCAGGTTAGAACAGCAGATGTGAGCTCTCTGAACAATCACTGCCATTTTTATTTTGAATTTCCATTTATTAACAAGTGTAAATGCTGAGACTTAAACTTGTCAAGTTTTTAAACATATCCAGTACACTGTCTTGTCCATCCAACTACACGTTCTTGACTTTTTACCTAAGTCTTTCATTTTTGAGTACTCAGTCGACTGACTAGACTTGAACGGAGCTAAGGTCAAAGCACCACATCCAACTGGTTTCCACCTGAGATGAAAGCTCTCAACACTATAAGTGGTTACTAAAGTTAAAGCATTACTGATGTATCCATTGTAGCAATGCAAATGATGGTAACAAATATAAGTCAGTAATTAAAAGATCCAACGATAATTCAGGAGAAACTTCTTTTCACATACAGTGATTAGAATGTATAATTCACCATCACAAGTAACTGAGGCGAGCAGCTTAGATACAATCAAGAGGAAGCTAAATAAATGCATGAGAGAGAAAGGATATTGAAGGGTATACTGATAATCTGATCTGAAGGGAGGGATGTGGAGCATAAATACCAGCACGGACCAGGAAGACTGAATGGCCTATTTCTGCTTTTATGTTTTATGTAATTCTATTCTTCATATTGTCATAACCCACTTTCACATTTCCAAATAAAGGACAAATACATAACAAAATGGAAACACCAACTAAGAATCAAACAGTTACCTTTCTTGCCCTTTTACTTTCCACAACCTTTGGAGACTCAAACTTTGTTTTACTTAACTATGGCTCAATTTACCCAAGTATATCGGTGTCTAGCATTACAATGTGAGTCCTTTGTCTAGATTTGTCAGTAATAAACAGAACAAATAAATTAAGAAATTGGCAGTCATTGGATTTACACATTGAATGTAACCATCCCTGAAAAATAGTTGTGATGTTAATCAAGATGTAAGTCATGAAAAAAAGTTAGAAAACCTACTCCCAAAATATTTTGCCAAGGCCAATTTTGAGTTGTCCCCTGGAAAAATTGCAAATATGCAGCATTGATGAACAAGTTGTTAAAATGTGTTTACTTTTCCTTCCCTCACACCAAAAGCTGTAAAGTGGACTCCGTAAAAAAAAGTTAGTCTTAAAAGAACTAAGATTACATTTGCGTAGTCCAATTCATGCCACCCAAAACATTTCACAACATAATTTTTTAAAAACAAACTGGATTACTAGTGTGTGCACCGTAAGGTGCCAATCAACAATGTGTTGACTGATCGGTTTATCCGATTAATGGTGCTTGTTTAAGAATGATTTGGCCATTAATGTCATGGAGTCTTTAATATCATCCAAACAAACAGATTAGACCTCAGTTTAATATTTTATTCAAAAACAGCACCTATAACAACACTGCACTTCCTCAGTACTGCTTGGAATGGGGTTTGAACCTCTGCCTTAGCGACTTTGCTGAGTCGGCTAACACTGAACCAAAATAATATACATTACATACATTTAAAAATGGCATTGGTAAAAGAGTAACTTTTGTTGAGGTAGGTTAAAAAAAAATCAAATGCTGCAACGAAATCAAGAAAGGGAGAGAGTAGGTTGGAGATAGAAGGGTAGCAGCACTGACACAACCTGATAGGTTACTTTATTTTCACACTCACCAGTTACGAGCATACAATAAATAACAGACAACCTCTGGCCCAGCTGGTCTGTCCAATATATAAATTCAGCATCCAGTTCATATCCATGCTGCCACAAAGAAGCTTAAAACTGCATTCTAGTTTGGGGAAATATTAATCTGGGAATTTCTTCTCTGATCTCCTCAAGTGAACAGAGCTATTCCACATGATCAATCCTGCACTGAATTCCTTTCAGCATCAATTATATGCTCAAAGTGATCCACCAACGCAGAAGGAATCACCTCTGAGAGATGAGCCAACCCCTTATATCTAATCTCAATGTAGCCTTAAATAACGTAATAGTGATCCCCCCGTCCTCTTACTTAGACTTCGTAACTTCCACATCTAGAGACACACAAGGCAGACAAAGCACTCCATTGTCTCCCACCTATAGCCAACATTCTTGCATCACTCCAACATCTGTTGACTAGCTATATACTTCTACTAACAGTCTGCTGCCAGTTAATCTTGGGTGACCTTCTTCTTTTATGTCCTATAAGGACGCACTGCATGACTTCGTGGACAAGCTACAATTACAGAAGTCAGGTGACATGGCCAAGCCAGCTGAGCCATGTTTTGCAGATGATGAATGAAACTGGAGGCTGCTCTAAGCATTCCCTTACTTCAGTGTTGGGTATAGCATCCCACCAATGCATGGCTAGAATTCTTCGAACAAATCTGACATCAAAGGTGAGCTGCTTCCTTCACTAGCAGGTTTTCAGGTTCCAGGTTTGACAACCATTTGGAGAGGGAAGAGTGCATTGCAGAACCAGAGCTCTGTTTTCATGGTAGGTATTTTACTGTTATGGAGTGTTTCAAGTTGGGTTAAAAGTTGATTTTGTTTTTCTCACATTGAGCTATTTGTCTATGGCTCCCTGGATATTAATGGAAATGTCCAGGTAAGTGAAGTCCTCTACAATGTCAACTTTGTTTTGATTGGCGTAAACGTCAATCAGTTGTTAGTGGTTTCCAATCATATTTTTAGTTTTCTTGGCATCTATAGTCAGTCCCACTCTGAGGATGATTGCTGTTTGAATTAGTGAGCTTTTGCAATTCAATATCCAGGGCTCTTTCTTTCTCAACCTGCTTTAATCCCTTTCCTTGAATGGTGAATCTATATTCAGCATTCATGCTGCCCACATGCATTGCACTGCACTTTTCTAAGTTCATTATCATTTAGAAGTCATATGCCCGTCTCCTGACTCATCAACATCAACCTGAAACAGTTGAGCCACACCTACAGACCAAACGCTCACACAATACTTGGAATTTTCTGAAAACTTGTAGACTATACACCAACACCTACATCTTTATCAAAACTAAAATAGTAGAACAGTCTAAAGACTGATCCCTTTAGCACAGGTGTCTCCAAACAGATTTGAATCCATTTACAATTACTTCCTGCCTCAAGGCTTCTAGCCAGTTTTTAATCCAGAGATAGTGGGAACTGCAGATGCTGGAAAATCTGAGATAACAAGGTGTAGAGCTGGATGAACACAGCAGGCCAAGCAGCATCACAGGATGAGGAAGGCTGACGTTTCGGGCTTAGACCCTTCATCGGAAATGGGGGAGGGGAAGGGGGTTCTGAAATAAATAGGGAGAGAGGGGGAGGCGTATAGAAGATGGATAGAGGAGAAGATAGGTGGCGAGGAAACAGACAGGTCAAAGAGGCGGGGATGGAGCCAGTAAAGGTGATGTAAGTGGGGAGGTAGGGAGGAGATAGGTCAGGCCAGGGAGGACGGACAGGTC